CATTTGTAGCTTAAGAGTTTACTGCACCCAAAGAGCTCCATATGTATGCGGGCAATTGGTGGATTGCTATTTGTAATGTGCATTTTTTGGGGCCACATCCCCAACAATACCTATAGAACCAAGGCTTGTAGAGCATTTGTCAGGTTAGTCCTTACCTCTAGACCTGTACTGAGAGAGATCAGCAGTGAAGCCCCATCCCTGCATATCCACAACTGAACCCCAGGCAAACCACTAAATACACGGATAAAATGCATATATAGAAGCAGTTTTACCTGCCAAAGAACTTGTATTTCTTTCTATCCGGTCCTGAGATTTATATAGCTCTGTCACACAGTAGTACAGCCCCGTCTGGCAGGGCAGAAGGCCTCTGCTGCAGTTCAGTAAATATAAAAGGTCTCCTCCTCACCCCCACCCAATGACTGGACAGGAAAAGGAGAAGTAGCAGATTGATTAGCTAATCTGTCACTCTGCTCTCTCCTTTTACCCACATTCGCCGTACGCTGCAGTACAGCTGATTGGCTACTTGTGCTGCTTTTCTCTCCCCAATGTGAGCTCTGCTGCACTGGGACTTTAAGAGGCTGCTACCAAGCCACATTCAGATACTTACACGGAATGTGCACTAAAAAATCAAATACTGTTAATGCTGCTCTGTATTGATTTACGTGTCTGGAGTTCAGCTTTAATGATCAAATATAAAGGCCCCTCGCAACATGACAAATTATATATGGACACAAGGCACTACCATATATTGGGAAGATCAGATGACCACATGATGACCTCACAGATTATACATTCTTGTAGATTTTGTAGACCAATGTGATTGTCTCTTTTTTGATTTTTAGAGACGGCAGAGGGCTGTGTGCGGCCTGAGCCCGAGCTGTATAATCCAGAATCTTTGTATATGGGAAGCATTGAACGTTTCCTGTAGTGTTTGTAACAAGTGCCTATTTTTGAACAATGTTCTGCTCTCTAATCAAGCTGCTGTTGTTTTTATTTTATTCCTTTTTATTTTGACACAAATGTTCGTATTGAATTTGACCTTACTAACGATGCCTTTTTCCTGCAGGTTGTCAGCAACGTCCGAAAGGGCGGCAAAACTGGAGGCGGTCAAGTCAATCTTTCTCTCTGCCTACAACACCGCCATTGGCTTAAAGACTGTGTCCCCAAGCCCCTCGGGAGCCATCAGCGGCCTTCTGGAACAATTTGCGCGAGGCGTGGGCCTGCGTGGCCCCAGTGCTATAGTATGACGGAACTGCCACGTACGGATAACAAACTTCACAAAGCCATATAAGACAATCTACAGAGCCCAATCCAGCTTCTCTTCCCGGTAACGTCTAATCATAAAAAGACGAATCGTCCGGGGGCGGAAGTGTCTGAGCTATCCCACCATGACGGTCAAGAAATGGAAGGAAATGGTTTTAACAGTTGAAGTTTTTTTTTTTAATCTGCAGCCACTGCAATGCAAACAATCACACTGTGTGTTGCAAAGCTTTCTCCGTTTTTTTTGTTTTAAATTAACTTTGATTTTATTTTTGATATGCCCAAAAAGTCTCTGCTTGTTGAATGCCATGTGCCAGACCGTGGACGTTTCCAGGCTTGTTAAAGTGACCTGGGTAATTCTACCTGAGCATATGATACCAAAAAATACATAAGCAGAGGTCAGTTTGGTGAACAATTCATGTCAAGAGTCAGTAGGTGCAGAAATCTAGGTAACTGAATTTATGTGCAGGTCTTGACTTTTTCTGTAAAAGTCAAGCTTGGCCCCACCCCTCCCACCTCCTGCTTGTACATTTTATTTAATGATATGCTCAGTTGGCGTTACCCAGGCTGGGCACGGATATATTTGAAAGGGAATCCTATTGCGAAGCAAAACTCTGATGGGAGCTGCCTGTCACGTACCTTAGAGGCGTCTGAAGTGATGAAGGCGGCCTCCCTCACAACTCTGGTCCCGGAGCCCCTGGATTGAGTACAGGGGCACAGAGGGGGAGGAGTGCCAGTAGATGATGAATCCGCCAAGCTGTGGATGTTGCGATGTGCGTAGCTCCAGACAGGTAATGGATACAGAAGAATCGTTAGGACAGGCCGAGGTCATCAACTTGCGGGCAACGCAGTACCAGGGATAAGGCAGGAACAATCATCAGGAGCAAGCCAAGGGTCAGGACACAGGAGAACAGCAGAAGGTCAAGCCAATCCCGGTCAGTAACGGATAATCAGTTCAGGATACAGGAACACAGGGAAGCTGACAAATCTGACCGCATAGGAGGATTGGTGGTCACAGCCTTTATAGCCCAGAGGGCGCCAAAACATTCAAACGACGCGTTGGCGCATGTGGCAATGCGTGTGCGCACGTCCACGCAGAGCTGCTGCACCTGGTACAGCTCTATGGGCTACACCAGGCGCATATGCATGCGAAAACCGCTGAGTATGAACTTTGGCTCTGGCTTCCTGACACCGCCATTTTTTGACTCATGTGCTGTGTACTAGTTCTAGGACTGTGAGGCTAAACTTACTGAGTCACTGTGCCCATAGCTGTATGTGACACGTAATGGTTGCTTCATCAGAGCCTAAACTTTAAGTGTTTTCCATCTGAAAAAATGACATGTATTAAGGCAGAGTATAGAGCAGCTGTAGGAGGGTAGTAACCTATGGTAGGCAGATTATAGAGCAGCTGTAGGAGGGTAGTAACCTATGGTAGGCAGTGTATAGAGCAGCAGTAGGAGGGTAGTAACCTATGGTAGGCAGTGTATAGAGCAGCTGTAGGAGGGTAGTAACCTATGGTAGGCAGAGTATAGTTGATGTATGTCGGGTCAGTAAAAGGTTGGTTGCTAGGGGGCTACTGCACTTTGCAAATTGTTCTTTCCATTATCAAAGCTTATCTCTAGCCAAAATCCCCCCCTCATAGACCTGAAAAAGGTGTCCCCATTGGCAGATTTTCTCTCTGTTCCAATTTTGGTAACAACTGTCAAATTTTAGGATTTCCCATTTACCTCCTATCCTGGCGACGATGGTCACCAGGATACATAACAAGGGAAGATCTCCCCAGTGAGACCTGACTGAGGTTTTAACTACTTCAGCCAAAGCTAGATAAAAATAAATTGGGGGCTAGAGATGCTTTTTAAATACACCTTCCTCACTGGCCTAAAGTCATCTTTGCAAACAATATTAATTACTTCATTTGTTCCATTTAAATCTGAACTCGAGACGGATTAAAAAAATAAACATAAATGGTTCTATAACTGTCATGTTTTTTGGGAGAGCATCAGTCTTGTCAGCCAAGCAAGCTCACCAAACCTCACCCATGTGCTGCTTATACCTTCACTAACCAATCTGCAGCATGGGGAAGGTTGGTGACACCTCTGCACTCTCTCTATAAAAGTGGTGTCACCTTCCAACCTATGCACGTGTGAATCCTAAAACGTGGCTAAATGGATTGCATTTGATAATCCCCGAATTGTGGTGCAACGTTCCCCACTTAATGAGAAGCATGTGCGCTCTCTTAATTCTTATATATGGCACTGGGTATAGTTTTTAAGCGCCTTCTTAAAGGACAGTGCCACAAAGCATGATGGGATGATTCTCTGCTGCCATGCAGAGATGAACAATCAATGTTCACAAATGAAAATAAAATGTTTTACTTGCAATGCAAAGAAAATATGTTGCATCTGACAAGGACAACTGCGAGTCCCACTGCAGACAATGCTGCATACTGTTCTATGTGGTGGATCACTATGTGGTGAGACGTTTGTGGACACCTGACCATAATGCTTGTATAAGCTTGTTGGACATCTCCTTCCCAGCCCATGGGTGTTTTTATATAGCGTTAACCCCCCACCCCTTCAGGCTATAACAGACTCCACCATTACGAGAAGGCTTGCCATGAGATTTTGGAGGGTGCCCGTGGGTATTTGTGCTCATTCAGCCAAAAAGAACATTTGCAAGGTCAGGTACTGATGTTGGATGAGAAGACCTGACTCACAATCTATTCAAGTTCATCCCAATGGTGTTCAGCAGGGTTGAGGTCAGGGCTCTGACCAGGCCACCCAAGTTCCTCGACTCCAAACTCCCCAAGCAATGTCTTTATGGAATATTCCACCAGACTGCAGATCAATATAGGCATCGGGTGCAGGCTGCAGTGTGCGCCCACTCGTCAAACAATATCTCTCCAATCAGCCGCATGAGACCGAGGGCCATAAAAATCCAACTTTAATGTTGTAAATTCCATGCAAAGTTCAAAATACAAGGTATACACCACCATAGTATCTCTCCCACTCCAACACCTCTCACGTTGTGGTGAAACGTGTGGGAAAGATACTTTGGTGGTGTATACCTTGTATACCTTTTTGTATTTTTAACTTTGCGTGGAATTTAAAACAATAACGTTGGATTTTTATGGACATCAGTCTTGTGCGGCTGATTTGAGAGACATGTCTTTATAGAGCTGGCTTTGTGCACAGGGGACGGTCATACTGGAACAGATGAAGGCCTTCACCAAAATGTTACCATAGGGTTGGAGGTTCACAATTGCCTAAATGTCTTTGTAGCATTAACAGCCATCTTTGGAAACACCTGAGCTCAATTTGGAGGGGTGTCCACCTACTTTTTGCCATATAGTGTATTGTGCAAAGTAATATGCATACTCTTGCAGCCCCACCCCCTCCCCTGTCGTGATGCATAGGGAGAAAGACAAAACTCTTCAGAGCCTGTAATTCCACTGACTTTGGGTCACTGCCCTCTCTTCTGCCTGCTATTAGAGATCTTAGTAAACCTCACCACACTGGTGGCATCCATCTGTCCTGGAGCTACCTCCCCCTCTAGCCCATCAGCTTTCAAAAGATAATCATACTGAAGTCTGACTTCAACTTTCAGCTGGCGTGTGGCAGGTGACTTTGTATAAAGACTAGTTTTATAAAGTTTGTGATGAACCGGGAAATGGTAACTGAGAAAAATGGATATATAAGAGAACTAGAGGGCATTTTTATATGTTTTCCCTGATTTTGTGCTTGCAAGATCTGAATATGTTGTGTCACGTTGCCCTGACATTGCAGTTTGATCAGAGAAGCTACCGGCTCAGACATATCCTTTAATTTGGTTTGATCATAAAATGCTGGAGAATAGCAGAGCTTTTGAATATCGGGAAATATCTCTCTGCCTGTTGTTCTCGGGGACCTGCTTGCCCATCGGCATCAAGCTGTAGCAGGGATTGGCATCATAGGGAACGGACAGGTGTGCCCCGGCCATCATTCTCCGGTCGACATCTGCCAACATAGCATTGCATTTTCCTTAAAGTAGAGCCGTGTCCAGGCTATGGATGCCCAAATATTTACATATAAACAAGCAGTAAATATACTTTCAATAATATCCCTCACTGACCTATGTAGCTACAGGCAGTGTGGAGCAATTTGTTCTCAAACGTTTGCAGTTGACGCTTCTCAGTTTTACTTTAACTATCTCACTTCAGCTCCGCTCTCACTCATGAAGTCCAGAGCTGAGAGGATGAAGCTGTGATAATATGTTTAGCTTCGCTGCACAAACCCCTGTACTGCCTGAAAATAATGAGATACTGAGCTGATTAATCCTCTCATCTTTCACTTTGCTCAGATTAAACATTCCGATAATACTTTCATTGGTACCCAGCCCTCGTTCCCTGTGTCAATATCACCAGCAATGTCATGCTGTCTGTTTGAACAGCCACTGGAGATGTGAGCTCTTCCTGCTGACATGGATATCAGGCTGGGTATACACAGGCGACTGGAGACTGCTCGGACGCTGCCAGTCCGAGCAGTCTCCCAGCAGTGACTTGGCAGCCCACCAGCCTTCTAAGTTGTACTGTGAACCTAGATCGGGTGGATAGGTAGAGAGGAGAGAGCAAAGTGCTGAGACCTGACTTAAACAGCTTCACTGCATCTCTTTTAAAGGTTGATAATTAATTACTCCACAGTACCTGCAGCGACAGAGGTCAGTGAGGGCTTTATTTTTTTCTCTCGCTCTTTCTCTCTCGCTCGCTCTTTCCCTACTATTCTCATTATCGATTAGTTGGTTGCAGCCCTACTTTAGGCCTCGTGCACATGGGCCCAGGATACGCAGCTGCCCATACTAGTGAATGGCTGTAGGCGGCTGTATGCCTGTTCATGCCACTAGTTGCATAAACCCGTTCCGCAGCTATAATAGAGAAGAAGAAAACGTTGCTCAACCACCTCACCCAAAACTCTACGTACAGCAGCTATACACCCCAGCACTGTATCTCAAGCATGGAGCT